GAGAGAGAGAGAGAGAGAGAGAGAGAGATGTAAAGAAGAATTGAAAAAGTAATGCTGTATTTTTGTGACCTTGTTATCTACCTGTATTATAATAAGATAAGTTCATAATTATACTGTTATATAAAAATATTCGTCAATTGTTAATTTACAGTTTATATTTTATAAATTGAGATGGTGAAAATTAAATATATAAATAGTAAATCTTTATAACTCCCCCTTAAATGAATAAATTAGCAACGTTTAAAAAATATAAATTAATTGTAAAATTAATAACAATAATGAATACCCGTATATATTTCCATATTTCTTATGCCAATTAATAACACGGTTTTTATTAGGGAACAGTAATGTGTAGATAATACTACCAAATATTGGTATGGGTTTAGGTCCACGAATACCTTGCTTACCCCAATAATCATTATCACTCCACAAATATCTGAAATTTAAAAAATAACTTTTATAAACAATAGACATTTATTATGGATTTAATTAAACATAAATCTATTTTATTTACACGTATATGAAATATGCAATGAATACGAAAAGTGCATAAATCACTAAATTAATGAAATCCATTTTTGGCAACTATTTCAATTTCATTATTTTATCTGAACAGTAGTGTATTTTTATATTACGGTACTTAATATACAAATAACTTAAAGAAACTAGATTTTAATTTGTTAAATCATTGTTTGTTTCAAATAACATAAATAATATTAAATTTGTGTTTCTATGTATGAAGTGCTATATCATCAAATATTGCAGTTAATACCGGTATAAGCTTCTACATTATGAATGATATAAATTTATTTTTAATTTATTTTAAATAAGTTTATTTATATTATAAAGCACACTGAACACAATTTTATCATTTATACTTGTAATCTTTTATTTCTAAATTTTTAACATTACAAAAATTTTATTTATTTTAAGAAATATTTTGTAAATTAAACAAATCTGAAATATACAGATTTATTTTTTAATCAACATTTTATAAAACACATGAATTAATTATTAAGTAATAACAATTTAAAATAAATATACAAAATGTTTTTATACAAAAAATTGATATGAATTTACACAAAAATTATTTGAGTTATGATTGGACATTTATGCAAAATAGCAGTCTATTTTGAGACATGGATTAATTTATTAGTAATAGCCATTACCCCAACCTCTTCTATTTAATAGTAATGTTCTGTGATGTCTTCGTCTATAACCGTATCTACCATATCCTCCATATCCTCCATATCCTCCATATCCACCATATCCACCATAATCACCATAACCACCATACCCACCATAGCCACCATATCCTCCATAACCACCATAGCCACCGTAGCCTCCATAGCCTCCATAACCACCATATCCACCATACATACCATAAGGATTGCCATTATATCCATAACCTTTAATTAAAAAATATTTAAGAAATTGTAGAAATACAAAAACATTTAAGAAATATTAGTATTATGTTGAGTGTGAAAACAAAATACATACCATATTGTGCTTCAATGCACGACACAATTAATGCTAAAAACGTGAAACAAAGAATAACTTTAACTTGAATACAGGCCATAATACAATATTTTAGTATTAGATCACAATTAAACTTTTTAAAACTATTAACTTAATTGAAAGTATATAAGTTTACAGAAGTTTGTCTAGTCTTTATATAGCATAAGCTGAGAAATCAAAATAACAATCAATTTTCACAATAACTAAAAATATGCAAACTTCGTAAACACCATAATCGTACTATTATTTCGAAACAAATCTGAACAAATTATTTAATTTTAAAAACACAATGTTTTTAATTATCAAACTCCAAATAAATAAAGTAATTAACCGATGTTACTATTATTTAAATACAGTATTGAACAAATATTATTCATATATTTAAGAGTAAAATAAAAACTTTACAATTGTTATTATAATGTATAAATGTATAAATTAAAAATAATTTTTAAACACCATAGAAATTTATTATGGATTAAATAAATATAAATCTATTTTATTTACACGTATATGAAATATGCAATGAATACGAAAAGAGCATAAATCACTAAATTAATGAAATCTATTTTTGGCAACTATTTTAATTTTATTAATAAATCTGAACAGTATTTATATCTATATTACTTAATATACAAATAACTTTAAAAAATTAGATGTTAATTTGTTAAATTGTATGTTTTAAATAACATAAGTAATATTAAATTGTGTATTAAATTGTATTATGTACTGTATAAAGTGCTATACCATCAAATATTACATGTACATGTTTAATATAAACTTCTACATTATGAATAAAATAAGTTTATTTTTAGTTTATTTTAGTTAAGTTTATTTTTATAATAAAACACACTAAAAACAATTTCATCATTTATACTTGTAATCTTTTATTTCTAAATTAACATTACAAAGCTTAATTTATTACAGTATTAAGTGAAATATACAGAATTGTTTTTCAATCAACATTTTATAAATACAAATGAATAAATTATTAAGTAATAACAATTTAAAATAAATAAAATGTTTTATACAAAAAAAGTTTGATATGAGTTTACACAAAAATTATTTGAGTTATGATTGGACATTTATGCAAAATAGCAGTCTATTGTGTGACATGGATCAATTTAGTCATAATAGTTATCCCAACCTCTTCTATTAAATCGATGATGTCTTCGTCTATAACCATATCCACCATACCCTCCGTAACCACCATATCCACCATATCCACCATTGCCACCATATCCTCCATAACCACCACCGCCTCCGTAGCCTCCATATCCTCCATATCCACGGCCATACATACCATAAGGGTTGCCATAATTTCCATAACCTTTAATTAAAAAATATTTAAGAAATTATTAAATATAGGAATACAAAAATATTTAAGAAATATTAGTATTAGGCTGAGGGTGAAAACAAAATACATACCATAATGTGCTTCAATGCACGACACAATTAATGTCAAAAACATGAAACAAAGAATAACTTTCACTTGAATACAGGCCATAATTCTATATATATTAGTATTTAATTACAATTAAACTCTTTTAAACTATTAATTGAAAGTATATAAGTTTACAGAAGTTATCTAGTCTTTATATACCATAAACCAAGAGATCAAAATAGCAATCAATTCTCACAATAACTGCAAATATGCAAAGTTCGTAAACACCATTATTGTATTATTATTTCGAAACAAATCTGAACAAACAATTTAATTTTAAAAACAAAATGTTTTTTAATTATCAAGCTCCGTATAACTACAATAATTAACCGATGTTACTATTATTTAAATACAACATTGAACAAATATTATTCATATATTTAAGAGTAAAATACAATTATTATTATAATGTAGATAACCGGATTTCTATTAATAGTTTATTCTATGAAAAGCTAATTATTGTTATTAAGCACATAGTATAGTAACAATTGTAATAATGAATAAAATAAATCCTGTTTATAAAATAATCTATTGTTTGCTCATATATTGCGTAATATTAACAATTTCACAATGTTTCGCAAATGCATAACAATTTTTCAATATAATTTTATTGAGTAACCTTACTGAAATTTAAACATTAAAGTTAGATAAGATCTTATCTGATAAAATCTTGTCATTGCATAATACAATTGCAACTCATGATAGATAATGAAATAGTCAATATTGTGTCTAAAATAGTTGTAGTTATAGCATATTGAATCAAGTAGAAATCTTCCAGTTTAAAAGTCTTAATTATTTATTTAAGGGCTGCCTCGACTTTCTCAGTAATCTCCATGGTCATATTATTAACTGCACCAATAGTGTCTACGCTTTCAACGTGAATATTATCATAACCATCCTATTAATTATGAAAATAAAATTAATTTTCTAATAACAAACAATTTATAGACAATTAATATACATGTGAGCCAGGCAAAAAATACAATTCACGCGCTCTGTCGACAAACATCTCGATATCGTCGACGTCGTCGAACTTAAACGGCTTAATGAACACCAATTTGCCGCTAATTTTAGCCCATTTCTCGGCGATTCGGAGCTTTAGTTTCGCCGCAAACTTTCGCTTTTTATTCAGTCTATACTCCGATAGCATACGAATGCGACCCAACATTATGTGGAAAATCTCCTCCATATCTGTGGCTACCAGTCCGGTGCCCGCGAAGTCCACGATCTCATTAACCATGTGTTTAACCTTTGCTTTTAGATCTGGCTCCTTTTTCATCTCCCTGTTCATTTTCTCTTTGAACGTGTCGGGTATGTCGGCCGACATCAGGGTCACCATAAACTCCAGCATAAAGTCTTCGGTGAGCTCTTCATCCGTGAAGCGCATGTCGTTTACGATGTCTATGATCACCGCTTTATGTGCCATACGTTTGGCCAATAACTTGGCGCATATGAGCGCCGTATCGAAATAGCCCACCACATCGTACTTGCCATTAGGTTCCAGCTCATTGAGCAGGGTTATATAGTATTTATTAACACCTTTGAGCGTGGTCAGTTGGCTCAACTCGCGGGTCCAATTGAGACCAATGGCCGGGCGGTCGAGCTTTTTAGCCAATTCCTCAAACATCGAAAAACTGAGCCCAAGGGTAGGCATGAAATATACAGGACGTCCAGTGGTTACCCCATTGAGCCGGACGTAGGCGTCGGTAGGAATAATAAACTTTTGTTTTAATAGACCCTTACGAGCAAGTTTGATGTCATCCAGGTGCTTTTTAATAGTAACAACGTTCCCGTTTTGGTAGTCCTTCAGCATTCCCACTGTTATACTCTTCACCTGATTTATACTCATTTTTATCTGCCATTCCCTCTAATTCAAGTGCCAAATGAAATACCCCTCCAATGGGTGCCAACCCTTTCGCCTCATTTACCAGTTGTTGGGAGCCTTCAGGAGTCAGACAATTAGCCGTCGATACGACCCAATCGGTCGTAAAATATTTAATTTCTCCAAACAGTTCTTGAAATCTATTGTAGAAATACTTTTGATAATCCGTTTTAATCCCAGACCTGGAAGTGACCACAAATTTTCTGGCGCCGAAGTATTGCATCCATGGAATCAACTCGAGTCCAAAACCACCCAAACCTCCGGTTATTATATAGACTTTGTTTGGATTGAAAAACGTCTTAACATTAGCCCTGAGAGGCAGCGCCGGTATGATGTGTCTCAACGGCCCTCTCGTGCTCTCTTCGTCCCTCATTTTGATGACTACTTTCCCGATGTGTTTACCGGTTGTCATATAACGGAAAGCCTTATCGGCCTCTTTGGCCCCAAATATGGTGTAATTAATTGGTTTCACACAACCATTGGTACAGTTGTTGTGCAACCACTCGAAGAAGTCGCTGAAGAAGCCCTTGTCTTCCATCAGCACTATATCGATGACTATTCCGATGAACTGAATATTCCTCAAGAAGTCAAACATTCCGATCTTCCGGTTCTGAAACATGTCGTACCGACCGATCTCCACAAACCTCCCGCTGTTGGCCACACACTCGTAGCTGAGGTCCAGTTTCTCACCGGCCAGGGAGTTGAGCACAATATCGACGCCCCGACCTTTCGTCGCCTCCATAATCTGATTCTTGAACAGAATATCTCTGGAGCTGTATATATGGTTCTCCGGTATGTTATACTCTGTCATAAGGAACTCCTTTTTCTCTTTCGTGCCAACCGTTGCGTAGATATCGCACCCGTAATGTCGGCACATGTTTATCGCCGACTGTCCCACACCTCCCGCCGCCGAATGAATTAATATACTTTCGCCTATGAATGCAAAACACATTATGAATACAATTAGTCTGAATACAGAATATTCTGTAGATTCAACACAAACCTTGTTTCAAATGAGCCCTTTTGATGAGCGCGTAATACAAAGTGCTATAAGTGCTGAGTATAGTGGACGCCTCTAACATTGACCAGTGCTCGGGAACGGTAGTCATACTATGAGTGCCCGCATTAATTGACGTGGCGTAACACCGACCCAACTCAATACCCATCACCCGTTCCCCGGTGTCCGCTCGACGGCCCACGTATTCACAGCCTAATATGCAGTCATTAAATAACTGCTCCGGACCAGAGGGTATACGACCTATATGGACATGGTAATTTTGGTTTGATTATAAATTTAAGTATCAATAATTGTTATGAATTACCGGTAACGAGCATAACGTCGTGAAATGAAAGACCAGAGCAATAGATTTCAACGCGAGTTTTGGTAAGTTTTTTGTTATACAAATCGTACTGTTCCTTAAGGGCCGGTATCTGTCTGGCGTCGTACCACTGAATACCAGACAAATCTCGAGATTGTCCAGAGTTTAAGTAATAATCACTTGACAGACATTTGTCGTAATCGGCGGACAGTTTAATGTGTCTATAAGTCCCGAGTTTACCATCTTTTATGACATTTGCCACCAAATTATTGGCTAATATATCGCTATAGGGTTTGCTATTAAAGTCTATTTTCGACTTATTGTTATTATTTTTATCGTCATTATAATTGAAGATATATTTAAATGCCTGTCCTCCCGACTCTAATCGAAAACAATTCATAAAACCAATGATACCATTAATTGGGGACTCATTGGCTATAAGCCAAATATCATTGCTTTTATCCTCAGATTCTTTTGATTTCACTAACTTTTGTTGTAAGATATGAAACCATTGCTTATAATCACCGCTAATATTAATCATATCGTCCATATCAGGGTTGTTAGACGTTTGTTGCGAAACATTACGGAAGAGAAAAGCTACCGTTCCTATGGTGTCACATTTGGTGCAAATCATTTTAAATCCCACTTTATTTGCCGTTGAAATCAATTGTTTCACACGAATCTCAAGTGTATTTGAATTGATTTCAACTAATTTCTCATTCAATGACATGAATGCGAGCTCTGGTTCCGTAAACCTATACCGGAATACCGTTAATAGGAATCCATTGGTCTGTATGGAGTCATACAAGTCCTGTATAAGGCTTTCCAAATCCAATTGCCATAAGTCTGGTGTATCCCTCAATATAACCAAATTTGAAGGTTTTAATGTCAGCCCATCACAGGCACTACCGTCCCATTCGGTGGCATTGGCTCTGAACACATCGGGAACGTCCGCTTTGGACTTCACTATCAGTTTATAGTCGACATCGAATGGCAATATCCGGAAGTGTGTGACCAACTGATCCACATCTTTGGCAAACAAAGTGTTACTCAAATTAATTTCCATGATTTTCAACTCTTTTATGTCCACAAAGTTTTCGCAAACGATGTCCACAATTGTTCGCAACATTCGCTCATTTCTTGGGATCTGATTCACCAGATCTGCACTCAAATCGTATTCAGGATTGTCATGGATTTCAGCCAACATTTTGTTCATCTCTTTGTTATCATTAATATTGACATTTTTGTCGCTAATATCGGTACAGATTTTATCCAACACTCGAAACAACACATGATTTTCATTGTTTCCGTTTCTGTACTCTTGTATCACATCCTCACTGAACGACTGGTAATTGAAATCGCATTTCATTTGTTTGAAACCTATTTGTGTCGCTTTCGACGCCATATATTTGCAAACCTAACATAAAAACGCCATAAAAATCGTAACAAAAATTACTAAAATCTCACAAAAATAATCCACAAAACAACTCAGACCTCTAAATACTTGGACACACTTTCCAAGAGAGTCTCATCAATAGCCTGATTGTCATCATTGGGACAAAACTCATACGAGTCTAACACCAGATCCGTGGCGTCTGAACGCCGGGGCACCGGAAACGCCAGCACATCGTCCATCTCAACCCCATTGGCCACCAGTAGTTTAGATTCCATATTGAAATAAAAGGGTAGGTGCGAGGGGTATATGGCGAACCTCTCCTTAAACCTCTGGGCCTCCTTCCGGGCGGCGGTACTCATGTCGTTGTATTCATCCATATTTTCGTGAATCTTAATCATCGCATAGCCCTGTGTTATGGAAATTCTATCGTTTTGGGGAACATCGGCACCGGTAGTATCGGTGGTGTCCATATTCTGCTCGTGATCGGCCATCTCCTCGTCCAAAGAGCTCTTTTCAGGGCATCTGTTCCGCTGAATGGTCTCAAACAGCACCTTAGGGTCCACTCGCAGCGTACGTATCAGCACCGGGAACATGAGCTTCCGGAAGGGGTAGGCAAAGGTCATGGAGTGTAGGAGTGCGTCCATATAAGTGACAAAATTTCCGGTCCACTCATTGACGCCAAAAATCTGGCGGAAGTTATTTGTGCCGACTTTCACGAGTCGCTCAAACTCTTTGCCGTAATCGAGGCCTAGGATTCGCATCTCTTTGTAGATGTCGTCCCTTTCCAGCGTATACTCGCACTCAGACAGCCGGTGCTCGTTCTCGTAGAGCTTGTTCTGGTGGATGAGTATGTCATCGCCCGGTGCCCGCACTTTGCCCACAACGCAAACATTATCGCTCTCGTATATGGAGAACTCATCTTGATACAATTTAATTCATTACAAACACGATACTAGCTTAAAACTTTTGTAAGTAAATTAAAATGTACCGGTTAACGGGTAGTACTTGACTTTAAGCTTGGTATTTTTATCCTCAGATAGAAACACGGGTCGTTTGATCTGGACATTTTCAAATATGACGGGTACTTTATACCACACTCTGCCCACACTGGCGGCTAACTTACGCCAGGCCAGCATGAGATACCCGGTCGCGGGAAATATGATATTGCCGTCCAATGCGTGGTCCATATAAAAGAGGTCCTCTTTCGCCAAGCAATTGATAATAACGTTCATATCTGAAGCGTTAGCCCTGCAAAACCTATCCGGGTATATGTTGGGCGCAAATTTGATACTATGATCCCATTTGTGAAGCGAACCGATAGACTGTGTATTCCTGGCCACCGGCCACTCCACTCGTGGGTATAGCCTATCGATCGCAAGATTGAAACCCAATTCGTAAAGCTTTGCCAAACCCGACAAAAACAGATCCAGATTTGTATGGTTTGAGTCCTTTTTCAATAGCGATATATACGTCGAGTTGTCCAGCGTTTCGGTCACCACTTTCTGAAACACCGAATGCGGACCTAATTCCAAGACAATGGCATCGGAGGGCAAGTCCCGGAACCGGTCGTAAAACATCACTGGATTCATGAGGTTATGCACGAAATACTCGGCCGACGCGTACTTCAGGTCCTCGGTGTCCGCGTCCGACCCCATCACTGAAGTGGACACCCATTTCCTGGACCTCAGCATTGGGTTTGGTATGTATTTCTTGATGGCATCCGTCATGGGCTGTGCGCTAGTAATTAGGTGTTGGGAATGGTATGGGATATCATTGCTAGGGATTTGTCGCACGAATACTGCCTTATCCTCCAGTGTTTTCAGCAATGCTTTCATTTCATTAACGGGTCCTAAGATTTAAATAATTCAATTTAAGATCCAATTGAGCTAGATTCTATTTTTAATTGAATTATAATTAATGTGATAATAACCGGACATAACGACCGTATCCTTTGCGTTATTACAGGCGATGTAAACCTCTTTTGGGCACAACTTCTTGGCCTCAGTCCGGGACAGACCCACGACTGCCATCAGACCCTTCGGTATATTCTTATCGCTTTCAGTGACGGCTCCCCTGAAGTACGAGACAATCATCGCATCCCTTGTGGACAGACATCCGTCAGCGTAAGCGCAGGCGATCTCACCAAACGAGTGGCCAATTATGCCGTCCACTGTGATGTCTATGGCTTTCATCACTTCATACAATGCTATCTCTATAGCAGTCGTCGAACAGAACTTTGCAGTCATTGTAGACATCGTTGTCTTGTCTTCACTTAATAACAGATCCTTTAAATCAATGCCAAACTCTTTGAGTATTTGATGGCATTCCTCCACTTTATCGGCAAATATCTTGATTGGCATCAAAGCCTTAGCCATCGCTGGCCACTGACCGCCCAAACCGGAGAACAGTAGCCAAAGAGGTCTCAAACTTTTGCTTTTCATAACTCCTATCTGTTTCTTATACTCGTATTTAATTTCATTGTTTTCTTCCGAAATTTTCTTTATTATAAGCGATCCTTAAATATAACACAAAACAATTACAGTATAACTGATAAAAATATTATTACCGTATATTTAAATCGGTTTAATATATTTTCTATTTACGTGATGCCCAATATTTAACGTTAAAAACTAACTTATTTGATACTATTATTGATTGATATTATTTACAGTTTAAACTCATAATTTATAATAAAATATTTTATACCTCTGTATGGAAATCCGGATGAATTCACATTTGGTGTGTATTTCATGGTTTGTGTCAAAAGTGCCAAAAAGTGTTTCGTCACTCTTTTGGGGTTATTCTCAATGAAATCAAACATATATTGAAC